TCTGCAATGCACACCAAAAGTACAAACAGGGACACCATCCATGCACAACATGGCACTGTTAGTACTCTGATATTTTTCGGCTGTTGATGGAATTAGCCTCTCTGAGAGCTACCACAGAGTTCGGGAAACCTGACTACCAGCCGGCCTCAGAACCATAAAACTGAGTTTTAGAGCTGTACCCTCATTAGGAGATAATAGAATGAGTTGCCCAGTCATAAAAATAGAGACACAAGCAATACCCACGCATTGAGTCAAGAAGATCCAGCGTTCAACATCCTAAACTGGAAACAATCTATTAAAAATACATCTGCGCCAGCCTAATAGATGAGGAAGGGGTGCGAGGCTGGTCAACAGATAGAATCTGTTTACCCCTTAAGTCTTTGCCTAGGAGGCCTTCTACAAGACAGCAGCTGGATGCATGTAACATCTGCCCAAGATGAGTATTTTTATCGAGACACCATCTCTAGCCTTTACTCAACCAAGAGCCCCAAGGCAGGGGGTGTTTTAATTCGGAGTTAACTTCTCCTAGCCTTTGCCTAAAAAAGCGTATCCTACAAGGCAGCAGGACATGGAGCAGGTTGTACTGGGTTACATGTTACCAGTAGCAGGAAAACCTGACCTGACCTTTGAGTAATTGAAGTATTTCTTTTTTTAAATATTTCAATTTAACAACAATATAAACAAAAATATATTTCTTTTGCCCTATTATAGAGAAATAATAAATATAAAGTTAATAATAGAAATAAAAACACAAACACTTACTATATTTTATTAGTCCACAATCTGCACTAAAATCAAAAAGCCATATACTTACAAATGTTAACGTGCACAAATGTTAACGTGTTAAAAATTGAACACGGGAGAACTTGGCTTAACTCTCAATAAAGTAACAAGAACTCGACTGGTTGAAAAAGGTTTCAACTAAAAGTTTAAAATTGCCGGAAAATCATGGCATGATTGCTTTCAACATTCAGTTGGCAACTTTTCAACTACAAATGAGGAAACTAAAGAAGAAAAACATGCTGTTCACTACAAAATTTTGGAGGATTTAACTAACAAGGTGCTGTTGGACAGAGTTTAAAGTAACAAACATTTTATCAAACATCACGGAGTCTTATTTTTAAAAATAAGCTTAGCTGTTATCAAGGTAACTGGCAAGAGTGACGAAACAAGTAGTTCTCGACAAAAAAAAAACTTCACAGGCTAACAGATTCATAGCTCGAGACACAGGAGTTAAACCTTGAACTCATTGTTGCCATTGTTGAAAATCTACCTGAAACATACCAAAATGTCAAAGCATTGATGAATATTATTAAAGTGAGTGACATGGCATTTTATATTTCCTGTGATCTAAAAATGGTTATTATTTTTTGTGGAATTCAATATTATTTAAGCAAACATTCTTGCCGCTGGTGCGATGTCAATTCGACAATTTACCAAAACGTGGATCTCTAAGGTCTTTTGGCACATTGAGGGAAAGATGCCGAGTTTGTTACCAATAACTTTTACAAACGTAATCCATTCACCGTTTATTAATATGGACAACTCAGTGCTCCTTTTAGATGTTATTCCGCAAATGCAATCCACTTTTATCTTGGAATTGTTAATCATCTTTTCGAAATCGTTTCAGATTTATGGCCTAGAGTTCATGCTGTCTTTTACCACATTGAAAAATTTGTATTTATCTTTAGTGAACAAGCAACTGAAATTTCAATTCTCATTGGAAATGATACAAGCACTGTCATGACTATCCAGAACATGGAAAATAACTTTTAAATTGTGTTGTTGACTATAACACACACACACACACACATATATATATATATATATATATATATATATATATATATATATATATATATATATATATATATATATATATATATATATATATATATATTTATATATTTGAATAAATAAAATAGAACATTGTATACTTAAAAGAGTGCTCAATCGATAAACTAGACCTATATAGTATATATGTTACTGTTACCTGTAGTACCAGAAATTAGCTAAATGATAATATTTATAATATAATTTAATATTGCAACTCTGAGTTTCATGTGTTACCACAATCATAAGGCAAGTATTGGCAAGTATTAAGTAGAATTAAAAATACTTAATAGTAAGTATAAATAACAACACAATATGGCCGCTATAAATTAAACTAATTTTTAGTTTTTTTTGTTGCTGAAAAACGTTAGCTATAAGATGCATAAAACTTTTCACTCTTCCCTTTTGAACAGCTTTTCCAAACTAATCTCTTTGTTACTTAACTTTCATGTTATTAAGAATTATTTGTTAGTCATCTTGGTTTGAGATAAAGTGCTTGAAAAATCTATTAAAAGGACTGCTGCTATTTTACAGCCGGTGCCTAATACACGAGAGGGGATGTTAATTTAATTTAGGAAATTTTTCCCACCCACCCCATGCTTATTTAGAGCCCACCTCCCCCCTAAACCACCATCCTTTATTAGTTTTTACTTGTTATAACTAAAAAAAAAATTAAAAAAAAAAATTCACGAATAAGAATAACAACTTTCAGTGTTATAAGGCTTTAAAAATTGACCTTCAAAAAATCTTATAAACTTTGATTTGTCAAAATTTTGGTTTTTGTTTATTTTTCATTATAATATGAAACCTATGTAAGCATATTAAATTCTATTGAGTTATTGAAATCTGTTAAAAAAATGTGCATCTGATCGCAAGCCACACTAGATTTAAATTATTTTTTCATGCACCGTAAAAAATTTTAAACCAACCTCTTATTTAGACCCTCGCCCTTGCATTTTTTAGATTTTAACTAAAATCCTCCCTTCTTTTTATCTCCTCTCCCCCTCCCTTGTTTTAAGCATTGCAGAGTAAATCAACTCTTGGAATTAGGAAAAATGAGGTTGGCAATAATTTGCCAACCTTAATCTTTTAGAGGTCGGCATCAGGTTGGCAAAAAAAAATTGAAACAAAGGTCTTACCATAAAACATAGAAACGAGGTCAACAATATTTGCTGACCTCAAACACTTTTAGGTCAGCAGTTAGGTTGACATTACCAAATGTCGACCTTAATTCCGAGGGTTGGTAGGTGTGTGAGGCAAGTTTTTATCATCTACTTCATATAAAAGGTTCTAAATAATGTTTTGAGAAATGAATTTTAGAAATAATTCACCCAAAGACACTTGGTAACCATTCTGGATTAATAAGGTTGTAATGTTGTCAATTGTTTTTGACCTTTTTCTATAAATGTAGATACTTTTGGCTCCAAATTGTAAGTATTTCTCAAGTTATCTAGTCTTGAAAGCCTTTATCAAGTAATATAAACTCACCAGCATGAAGCAATTCTCAAGCTTTTGGTCACCTGTAGTAGATCATTCATGATTGAAGCTTTTATTTTTTGCCTCATGAATTCCAAATACACTGACAATTTTTCAATTTTATGTCGAAAAAAAAAAAGCTTGACACAATGTTTTTTGTTTATGTATGTGCTCCTAAATTAATAATTAAATAACTAAGGCGCTAAGTTGTTAGGTGCTCCTAAATTATTAGGGATAAAATCTTTGAAAACGCATTTCTCACTCATTGCAAATATCGGGATACTTTAAAATGAGAGTAAAAATAATCAGCAATGAGCAAAGTAATGCATGAGCATAATATTGAAACTAGTGAAAATTTAACTTCTGAACATTTACATTCATTTTAACAACAATTTAAAGCTTCATTGTTTAATAATCCAACTTTACTCAAGTTCTCTCAACAGCATTATGATCCAGTAGATTTTAAAATGTTTTATTGTACATAAGCATCGATAATATCTTAGCCTGAAAAGAACATGAAATTTTTTGAAGGGTTATTATTGTGGCATATGAAACAATTGCAATTAGAAACAGTTGTTCAAGCTATACCCACCAAAATAAGGGGTTTTTTTTTGGATTTTCTTTAATTTTATAACTTAATTAAATTTTTTTTTTTAAATTTATCTAGAAAGACCTTTGTGATTTTGAATTTTGTTCAATAATCGCTTCAGGCAAAAATTCGCTATATGAAAATCAAATGACTAAGCTTCTATAAATCTTTTTAACGGTGAATTCATTTCCTCATTTTCGTTCATTCATTCATTTCCTCATTCTCCTTTTTCCACACACTTTTAATACAGCTCAATAAATACTTTTGTTTTTGTTGATTGTTTTTTGTGTTTCATTTAGGAACTACAATTTTGTTTGTAAAAAAAATCTAGATAATAAACGCTAATTTTTAACTTTATCCAATCTTTAGAAACAACATTTGCATTAAAATTAATCTACTCATTCTTGGTTTCATTTTGAAAAAAATTAAAACCATGTTTATTTGAAACTGTTAATGTTGATATTTAGAGTGCTTTTTTATTTTAAACAATTTAAATATGATAATAATTTTAAGAGGATTAACCGTTTATTATAGTTGAGTGAAAGTCTAACGTCTTTAAAAACTACAAGACTTATTAAGTGTACAATCAATTAATCATATCATAACACATTAGAGTCAAATGAACAAATTTTTAGTGATTTATAACATTAATTTAAATTTAAACCAAAAGGGGCAAAAACTTGCTGGTTGGGCGAATAACCTCTTTACTTAAAATATATATACATTATTACATATTTCATTATCTAATTATTGCTTGTAAATAAATTTTGTTGTATATATGTATATTTCTATTTTTCAGTTTATTATTATATTAGCAAACATCCTTTTAAATCTCAAATTTTATAATTAAAATAACTTAGCTTACATTATTTTTATTTAATGTATATAAAAAACAAATGATCAGTATGGAACATAGATCTACCATTACCCGTATTAGTGGGTTCTGACAGTTAGTGTTTTAAATTGTATCATCTGTTTAATATGTTTCCACAAAAATGCAATATTTGATAAATTATAGATTGTCACATAATTAAAAGGTAGCTACTAATATTACAAATTAAAAAAAAAAAAGGAAACTAAAAATAATTTCTGAAAAAATTACTTGGATGGAAACTTCTTTTTTTAACTGTGTCTTCGCCATAGAAATCTTCTAACAACTGTTGAATAGCTAAAACACAAAAATACATGTATTTAGACAGAGATATCTATCAAGTATTTAGTAGATAAAAAAAATCATAATACATATAGATAGATAGCGTTATCTATCAGATTACATATAGATAGGTGTATAAATAAGTATATATTATTATAATAATTAAGTATAATTTGATTAAAAATGAATTTTATACAACATGCAAGTACTTAAAGTTACTCAAAGGTGCTTAATAAAAGGGGGTAGAATAAAATAAGGGTAGGACTTTCAGTTAAACAGGGGATGAGGAGTGGCTTGTTAATAAACAGGGGATGAGGAGTGGCTTGTTACAAAAGGGTAGGCAAGAATTTTTTACAGAACACGAATAAAACAATTTAATTATAGTGTGGCTTGCAGTTAAATACCCATTTTTAAAAGCTATTTCATCATAATTATAATAGGATTTAATATGCTTATATTAAATCCTATTAAAATAGGAAAAATACTATTTATGCTATTGTGAGAAATAAATGAAAACCTAGTTTTTGAGAAATTGAAATTTAATTGATTTTTTAATTTTATACTGAAAATTTTTATCAGTGACTAAGATATATATGTATGTATATATATATATATATATATGTATATATATATATACATATATATATATATATATATATATATATATATATATATATATATATATATATATATATATATATATATATATATATATATATATATATATATATATATATATATATATATATATATATATATATATATATATATATATATATATATATACATATATATATATATATATATATATATATATATATATATATATATATATATATATATATATATATATATATATATCTGATATATATATATCTGATATATATATATCTGATATATATATATATCTGATATATATATATCTGATATATATATATATATCTGATATATATATATATATCTGATATATATATATATATATATATATATATATATATATATATATATATATATATATATATATATATATATATATATATATATATATATATATATATATATATATATATATATATATATATATATATATATATATATATATATATGTCACTGACATATATATAGTGTATTTAGCTCCTAAGAGTATATATGTATTTAATAAAGTATAAATTACATTATATACTCCAAAAAACAAGTTTTAAAAACCATTTTTTCAATATTTTTTAAAAATAAATAATTTTATAACAAATAAAAATGAACTAAATAAACTTACTGTTAATTTCTTTTTCATCATTGGCTGCTTGCCCATTTCCTACACTATATCCATGCTTTCCTATATTACTAAAGGATTTTATTAATGGTTCTACTCGCGTAATACAGTTTCGAGCTCTAGGATTACATATAATTGGTTGACAACAAATAGAGCATTTTGGAGAGCAAGTGCATGTCAGCGATTCTTTATTGCATCCTCCATTATTTCCGACGGTAGAACCTGGATTATTTCCAGGAGTGTTTCCTTCAGATGTGCTTACCACATTACCTGTTTCAGTAGCAGAGCATCCATTAGATGCTCCCTTTGAAGAACATTCGCTAATTGAACCTTCACCACCATTTAAACCTCCTCCACCTGTAGAACCTCCTCCTGCATTAACACCGCCAGCTTCTTTACCAGATTCACCTGCTGCACCATTTACACCTGGTACACTAGCAGTACCTTCTCCACCTTCTGCAGCTCCTTCACCAGCTGCAACTCCACCAGCTGCAACTCCACCAGCTGCACCCCCACCAGCTGCAACTCCTTCTCCAGTTGCACTTATTCCACCAGTTGTACCACCTCCACCAGTTGCACCTTCTTCACCAGTTGCACCTCCACCAACAGGGCCTCCTTTACCAGTACTTCCTCCAGAAACACCTCCTTCACCAGCTGTACTTCCTCCAGCTGCACCTATTTCTCCGGCTGCTTCTCCACCGGCTGCACCTCCACCAGCTACACCTGCTTCTCCAGCTGCACCACCACCAGCTGCACCTGCTTCTCCAGCTGCACCTCCACCAGCTGCACCTGCTTCTCCAGCTGCACCTCCACCAGCTGCACCTCCACCAGCTGCACCTGCTTCTCCAGCTGCACCTCCACCAGCTGCACCTTCTTCTCCAGCTGCACCACCACCAGCTGCACCTCCACCAGCTGCACCTCCAGCTGTTTCGCCTCCACCAGCTGCACCTCCCTCTCCTGTTGCACTTATTCCACCCGCTGCACCTTCACCAGCTGCACCTCTACCTGCTTCACCTCCACCAGCTGCACTTGCTTCACCAGTAGCACCTATTCCTCCCGCAGCACCTCCACTAGCCGTACCTTCACCTGCTTCACCTCCAGCAGCTGCACCTGCTTCTCCAGTTGCACTTATTCCACCCGCTGCACCATCTTTACCAGCAGCACCTCCATCACCAGTTGCACCTCCACCATTTGCACCTCCACCAGCTGCATCTATACCTGCTTCACCTCCACCAGCTGCACCTGCTTCTCCTGTTGCACTTATTTCACCCGCTGCACCTTCTTTACCAGCTGCACCTCTTTCACCAGTTGCACCTCCACCAGTTGCACCTCCGCCAACTGCACCTCCACCAGCTGCATCTACACCTGCTTCACCTCCACCAGCTGTACCTGCTTCTCCAGTTGCACTTATTCCTCCTGCTGCACCTTCTTTACCAGCTGCACCTCCTTCACCAGTTGCACCTCCACCAGCTGCACCTCCTTCTTCAGTAGCACTTACTCCACCCGCTGCACTTTCTTTACCAGCTGCACCTTTGCCAGCTGCTTCTCCATCAGCTGCACCTCCAATAGCTGCACCTTCACCAGTTGATCCTCCGCCACCTTCACCTCCACTAGCTGCTCCACCATTGACTTCCCCTCCACCTGCTGCACCTATTCCATTATCTACACCTTTACCAGTTGTACCTACACCTGCTTCACCTCCACCAGCTGTACCTGCTTCTCCAGTTGCACTCAATCCACCTGCTGCACCTTCTTTACCAGCTGTGCCTCCACCAGCTGCGCTTAGACCTGCTTCACTTCCGCCAGCTGCACCTGCTTCTCCAGTTGCACCTATTCCCCCTGCTGCACCTTCCTTACTTGTTGTGCCTCCACCAGCTGCACCTCCTTCACCAGTTGCACCTCCACCAGCTGCACCGATGTTTGCTTCACCTCCACCAGCTGCACTCACTCCACCCACTGCACCACCTTCACCAGCTGCACCTCCACCTGCTGCACCTCCAACTGCTTCACCTCCACCAGCTGCAACTCCCTCTCCTGTTCCACTTATTCCACTAGCTACACTTCCCCCAGCTGCACCTTCACCAGGTAAACCTGCATCAGCTCCACCAGCTGCACCTGCTTCTCCAGTAGCACTTATTCCACCTGCTGCACCTCCACCTGCTGCACCTCCACCTGCTGCACCTCCACCAGCTGCACCTGCTTCTCCAGTTGCACTTGCTCCGCCTGCTGCACCTGCCTCACCAGCTACACCTATTTCACCACTTACACCACTACCAGCTGCACCTCCATTAGCTGCACCTCCCTCTCCTGTTGCATTCATTCTGCCAGCTGAACTTCCACTAGCTATACTTCCACCGGCTGCACCTCCACCAGCTACACTTCCTTCCTCTGTTGCACCTTCTTTACCAGCTGCTTCTCCACTAGCTACACCTCCGCCGGCTGCACCTCCTCCACCAGCTGCACCTCCACCAGTTACACTTCCTTCACCACTTGTTTTGTCTTTACCAGTTGTACCTCCACCAGCTAAACCTCCACCTGCTGCATTAACTCCACCAACTGCACCTCCTTCACCAGCTGCACCTCCTTCACCAGCTGTACCTCCTTCACCAGCTGCACCTCCACTAATTGAACCTCCACCAGCTACACTTCCACCAGCTATACCTCCACCAGCAGCACCTTGCTCACTAGCTGCACCACCACCAGCTACACTTCCACCAGCTGCACCTTCTCCTGCTGCACCTCCTCCTGCCCCTCCTCCCACTGTAACTCCTCCTGCTGCATCTCCTCCTGCTGCACCTTCTCCTGCTGCACCTCCTCCCGCTGCACCTTCTCCTGCTGCACCTCCTCTCGCTGCACCTTCTCCTACTGCACCTTCTCCTGCTGCACCTCTTCCTGCTGCACCTTCTCCTGCTGCACCTCCTTCCGCTGCACCTTCTCCTGCTGCACCTTCTCCCGCTGCACCTCCTCCTGCTGCACCTCCTCCTGCTGCACCTAAACCAACTCCACCTTCTCCAGTTGCACTGATTCCGCCAGCAGCACCCCCACCAGTTACACCTCCACCAGCTGCACCTCCTTCACCAGCTGTACCTCCTACACCAGCTGCACCTCCTACACCAGCTGCACCTCCTACACCAGCTGCACCTCCTACACCAGCTGCACCTCCTACACCAGCTGCACCTCCTCCACCAGCCAAACCTCCTCCAGCCAAACCTCCACCAGCCACGCCACCAATACCACCAGCTGCACCTCCTTCACCAGTTGCACCTCCCCTAGAAACACCATTTCCAGCAATACCTCCAAGACTTCCGGAAGCAACACCCCCACTAATGCCACTGGCTTCGCCAGTACCAGCACCTATTCCAGAACCAATTGCTATAATTCCAGCATTTTCGACAGCAGTGCTTACTGACTGGACAGTGTTTAAAATACTTGACAATAACTGACCATTTCCATCACCAACCATGGATGCAAGTGTTATTGAAGGTGAATTTGGTAGCCCATTGATAACTAAAAAAGGAAAAAACTATAAAATATTATTTGTAATATTCTAACGTATTTACATATTTATTATTAGTTATATCATTAAATTATCATATCAGTGTTATGTTGACATATTTACATTACATGCAGGTATCTAAACAAATGAAAACCAATTTAAAAAAAGGATTTCAGTGTACAGCTTACAGAAGAATTCAATGTTTTCAATGATCTATTAAGTCATCCAGCTCATCCAAGATTTCAAACAGAATAATCAGAAGACAAACATTTTAATTACACCATTAGTAATTAAATGATGGCCAAAAAAATATTGTTGTGTTTAAATAATTTAATTAGGAACTTTAAATTTAATTGTGATCATAGTATTGCAGATATTAAATAATTTTTCTTTTTATTTCTCTGTGATTGATGAATTACAACTTTTTCCACTATATTCTACTATAGCAGTGTTAAATATTATATACAATTTATTATGGTTACAACCCTCTCTCACCTTTTTAACTCTGAAACACAAACCTTGACAAGCAAGGCCGCTGCACAGAGAATTTTCAAACCCTAATTGCACAACAGTTTCATTTTACATAATTTTTAATACAATTTCAAGCATTGCACATATTATAGATTGATGCACAGAACACTATTTGAGCCATATACTTGCATTTACCATTAATGTTATATTTACCCATTAACTTTAAATTAACTTAATGCAAATTTAACGCAACAAACAACAAGTTTTTAAACTGTTTAGAATGAGTGATATCTTCCTTGTTCATGAACACTTCAAAAAGAGTGCATACAACAAGCATATTGAAGAGAAACTACATAGAGCAATTCTTTATTAAACAACATGACCATTAAAAGCCTCTCTGATAAACCTACTTATGGAACCCGAATTGAATGAACAATATATACCAAATAAATCAAATATGGATGCTATCAAAGAATTTAAAAGTTTATTATTTATATAACCATTAAACATGTGTAAATATTTTTCTGTATGTTCCGTAACATTAAGTCTAAGCCTGAATATACAACCAGCGATATTATGTAAAGTTCCAGTTGTATATCAAAGAGTCCATTATGTATTAGATACCAGTGCATGGAGAATCTCTGATAATAGACTTTACCAAACAAATATATTTTTGGAGCAAACATAATAAAAAACAAAGATCAAAAAATTAGTTTTCATAACAAAAATTAAAACTAAATGCGCATATGAAAGTGCAAATAAAATAAACCAAACACACAAAATAGTTAATATACACATGCACACACACACACACACACACACACACACACACACACACACACACACACACACATACATACTTACATACATACTTACATACATGCATACTTTATTATACATAGATATCTTAAGCTTTAATTACAAACAATTATATTTAAATACAAACAGTAATATGACATTTTGATGGCTTCCCTAAAGTTTGCTTTAAAGGAGTTTATTTCTTGGTTATGTAAGTAGGAGTGTTTGATTTCGTTTTCTAACCAGTTTGTACAACTCTGATTTAGAAAGTGTTTGCAAATTAAATGTATTTATATTAAAAAATGTTCATTTAATTGTTTGAAAGCAAAAAAAAATAAATGAAAAGTTCCAACTTTCTAGAAAGTGGAAATGGATTGAATTTAATTTATTTCCAATTTCCGGAAAGTTGTAAGTATTTAAAATTAATCACTTTCTTTAGATTTTTACAAGACATTAAATTTATAGTATTACTACTAATTAAATTTGACCTTACTTCCCTGCACTTTCCAATCACTTCACATTGGAAAGTCAAAAAAAAATTTAAACAATCTTTTTTTTTAATTTTCTTTATTTAAAAAGATTTCTTTTTTACAAATAGTTGATATCATAGTCAATAGAACTTATCCTGGATGAGAAATAAAAAATTTTTCAAAATGGTCTTGCTGTTTAAAAATATTGTACTCACATGATCAAAGTAAGTGCAAAAAAAATTTTAAAAGCATAGTCAATAGAAGTTATTCCTTAGTTAATAGAAGTTATCCCTTAGAAGTTATCCCTTAGAAGTTATCCTGAGATAACTTCTATTGACTATCGTTTAACTAAGGTTTCACTATTTTATTCTATTACTCTAAAAAATTATAGAAAGCGAGATCGCAGTTCGTTTGGCATTTGAAGTATATTTATTTTAAATTTGATTTAAAAATAGAAAATGGTAAAAAAAAAATGCTTATATTTTTAAAATACCAGCCTTCGTTTATTTTATGATTTTTGACGTTAAAATAAAAAATCTTAAAAATTAAATAAATAACTGAAATTAAAAAAAAAATTTAATTCATCAATGGTACTAAATATATTTATTTTTTAAAATTAACAATAAATCATTTTTAGCTTTAATGCGCAAATAGTTCAGTTATGGGTATAATAGATACTTATTTTTGTGTAACGTCTTCGTGTAATTAAGACAGCTCATTTAACAAACTGTATTTCTTAATTTTACATTAAAACATTTTTTTTCTTTGAAAATTAATAAATTAGGACAGGTCTTAATAAGCTCTTGGTGATTGGAAATTGATAAAACAGATAAGAATTAAATAAATTTTTTTAATGACTTTCCAATGGAAAGTGATTGGAAAGTGTAGGGAAGTAAGGTCGAACTTAATTAATAATAATAATATAATTTTTTTACCTGTAAAAACTTAAAGAAAATGATTAATTTTTAAATACTTTCCACTTCCTAGAAAGTTGGAAACTCATTAAAACTTGACTTTTTTTATGTCACATAAATTGTATAACTAAAACATTTCATTTTTCATTATAAAAACATGGATCATTAAAAAAATTTCCACTTTCTTTGAAGAAAGCGAAATCAAACACTCCTATATGTAAGTGTAAAACATACGTCATTCAGAATAGTGTTTTTATATACTGATCATCGTCTAAATTCATACCTCTGCTTTTAGGCCATTTGTTATGTTAAATTATTTGACTCTCAAACTTTTTGTTCAAAGTTTTTAGGTTCTATTTTTAAAATTTTTATTATTATTACAATTTATATCGCAATGACATTTTTATGATGCCCAAATGCAGATTGTTTCTTCTTACACATGTTTTTTAAGTTGTTTCATTCTTGTTGCTATTTTCATTTTGTTTCGCTAAAGTATTTTTGCTTAGTTAAATTCTATTAGGTATACACCACGATAGCTATTTAAAATTGAATTTCAGTAGATTTTTTTGAACTTAGAGAATTTACTCAGCTTTTCCCTATATATATATACATACTGTTTATGAACATGCAACAAATATTTCATTTCCGCGCGCTAAAAACTTTGTTTTCCATTATGCCTACTTTTGCCAAAAACCATGAAAACTGCGGAAAATCTGTTTGCTTAATCTGTATGAAATTAGCAGACAGGCAATTGATAGAATATTACAATTGACAGAACATTACAATTGACAGAATATTACCAGAAGAAAATTCACAAGATTATCTTAAATAATGTGAATTTCATTGATGATCATGTGCCTTCTAGAATTTGCATGACTTGTTGATTCAAGATCAATCAGCAAAGTGCAGCTTGAAAAACTCCTGCAGCTGAAAAAAGGTGCACAACTTGCTTATATGTGCTTGCTCAAGGACATACTCATCCTTGTACACAAGGGAAAACATCATGAAAACCTCAAAGAACTTGCATTGGCAGAAAAATTAGATGTAGAGCAGATTGTATCCACTGTGATTTCAGGCAAAGATACATCATTAAAAAGAACAGTTTGGATCAGCAAACTAGTAGTTCAAGTGGTTCATTGCCAGGATCTGCATCAGCTCAAAGAAAAAATCATATCATAGAGAGAACTTGAAAGCAAGGCTGCTCTAAAGCTTGGAATAGATGGTTGTGCAATTTTTTACACCAGAGTAACAATCAGAAACATAATATAACCACTTTCATACAGTCTACTGTATGAACGTGGTTACTGTCATACTTGTTGTTTCATTTTACTACTCAACTAATAGAAACCCTTGCCGAAATACTGCCAGCATGGGATAAGGATACAAATCATTTCCTTGCCAATTATGTTTTGTACAACCAGATAAAAAAAGACTAGCATTACTTGTCAAATATGCTTTCTTGTAATCTCCATCATTTCCTGTAGACTACATATCATATAAGTCATTAAATTGAACTTGCCCTTGTGAACTTTAGTAGATGGTAACATTTATACTGCAATCAAATTATTTAGTTATTTCATTAGATATAAAGTTCTAAAACAAATAAATTATACATTTCCCCGAAGTGTATTTCTAAAAAATCGAATTGCTAATGTTCTATGGTATTTTCATTCCTATAGTAATTTTTTCATTTAACGTCACCAAGTCATTTTTTAATGTCAACACTGTTAAGTCTTCATTTACAATTGTTTTGCTGTTCTTGACTTTAAGTTTGCTTTCAGTCCATACTTGTCAGCTACCATACCCTTTCATACCATACCCTTTCATACCTGTCAGCTACCATAACTATTTGAACTGTTATTTTTATTCAAGTTAATCACTTTTTATTACTTATAATTCACTGCAAACTTAACTTTCATTGATATTCATATTTACTTTTATGTCAGTAAAAATATCAAAAAAGTTAATACCAATGTAGTAACACCAGTATTTGTTATCGAATACGGTTAGATACTTATCTATCTATTCATTTTCTTTTTCACTAAGGATTATAACGGAGCAGGGTAAGTCCCTTATGAGACCAATGTAATAAACTGTTAGACAATGCAGATTTTAAAAAAGCAGTGATACCATTTTGAATTGTAGACTTTTTGAAACTAAAAAACAGCTTTATCAATAGTTTTTTTTTTGCAAAGTTTAAAATATTGAAAGGAAAGTTTTAGGATCTAGCTATTCTAAAAAAATTGATTGATATAAAATATTGAAAGGAAAGTTTTAGGATCTAGTTATTCTAAAAAAATGACACGTGATTTAAAAAAAAATAATTATTTAGACCAAGACCAACAGGAGACAAACTCTTGAAAAAAAAGAAAAAAAGGTTTTACAGAGTAAATTTATAACAATAATTTTTTTAAACTTGCTTTTTCTATATTCCCATTTTTTTCTCTAGTACCCGTCTTCTAGTATCTTCTCATTTTCTAGTAAAATGTCCAATCTTAGTAAAGGTTTGAGATAAAGAAAGTGGCAGATAAAGGTCCAAGCAAGTTCCAAATCAAAAAATTTGATTGTTGTCCTCAGTTTAAAGTAAAAGAATTTTATGTATGAGCATATATTACTTAATATGCATAAAGAAAGTAATTTTTCTAATTTATAATTATTTTACATTAATTAGTAAATAATTAACATAACTATTTTACATTAATAACTAATTTTCATGCATTAATAATCAATTATTATTTATTAAGTAGTTAAAAAATAGTATTCGAAGAAAGTTCCATCAAATTCAACTCAATTTAAGTATGTCACATCAAATTCAAATCAATCTAAGTATGTCACATAATAAGTATATTAAGTCATATAAATAACAATAACAAAAATAATAAACTTAATAAAATTTTAAAATATTTATAAAAATAAGAATAATAAACTGAATAGTAAACATTTAAAAATATTTTTAAAAAATTAAAAAATTCATAAATATTAGAAGTATTTAAAAAAAATGAATGTCAAGATTTCATATTTTTGCAGTTGAAAACAATTTATATGATAACAATTATAGATTTGGTCCAATCATTATGATTGCCTAACTTATATTGCTCTTTTGTAAATAGTCTCAATATTATTTACCGCAATAACCGCATACAAATTTTTGACCTCCCCTAGGTCAAGAGAGCATGTCACAGTACAGACAAGAAGGCAACTACCATTTATTTAAATTTTCTGACTACTTTTGAAGTTTTTACCTAAATATTTAAAAATATCAAAAAACAAACATATAAACTTTTTTATCACAGAAAGTATATGAAAAACAACAAGAACTGTTTTATAACCTGTGAATTGTTTTGTATCTTTTTGATTTTGATTCTGAAGTTGCACTTGTAGCAAATTGTACATTAAAAATTGAAAAAATAAAATCTCTTTCAGACTACTTGTTGGACTGCCTGCAAACAATGGTGTAATAACGTGACACAATAAATAGCAAATGTGTCTTAAAACTTTTGTATGAAAGTTAAAAAACTTGGATTATTTTTCTTAAGACTTGTGAAAAGGCATGTAACAAATAAGACAAGCAATTGATACATAAAAACACTTTAAAATGATAAAAACTGCAAAGATTTTACTTGCAAACAACTAAAGTAATGCATATTATTTGACTAAATATGATAGAACCATTTTGGGTCACTCAAACTTTAGACTTTCTAAAGTCTTTAGACATTACAATTTTAAAGACAATTTACTATTGAATTATTGAATTTCTGAAAAATGTGTCAAGCTTATAAAAAATAATTATTTTATTAAATTTAAGATCACAATTATTTTCAATTTAAAGTTCTTTATTTCAAAAAAGAAATTTTTCTTAATTTTAATTTTTTTTTAATATAGCTATATTTTAAATAAAATAAATTTTTTACTTTAATTGAACTTTTAGATTTAACATAATCACTAGAAATTAATGTAATCACTAGAAAGTATTAGATAATCACTAAAATTTAGTTAACCTTTATTTTGATAATAGATCATCAAAATTATTCAGTAATCCGGAAAACTTAAAAGACATTGAGATTATTATATTGTCAAATATTTATCAACTTAAATCAATAATATTATCTTTAAAACCCTGTGAACTAAAAAAAATCACTGGTTTGTTGATTAAAGTGAATAAGTTAAAAAAAATTCATTTGTGATTAAGTTTGCTATCTCCATTTGATTATCAAATTAAGTTATTTGCAAGTTTACTTGTTTCTTTTCACTTTTGCCAACATGTTATTTTAAAAATTTCATTATGATAATATCTTATTTACACTAAACTTTGTATTATGTATAATGAACCCTAAATAAATGAAATATTATTTTACAAAGTTTCTGTGTATATCTTATTTATTTATTACATAATTAAATAATTATATTATATTAATTTGGTTTTTTCACATTCACTCCTTTTATTTTTAATATTCAATTTCTTTTTTTTTTATGTTTATGTTTTTAACTATTTAAATAAATAACTTACTCATTGTTATAGAAAAGAGAATACGTGAAACAAAAGTTGCCATATCAGCTGCTGTTCCAGACATTGCTAACTGACCATTAGAGGCTAGCATATTTAATTCTTCTTGACTGTAGTCATTACCAATTCCTATTAGAGTTGATGAATAAATTTGTAAAAACTAATACTAAATTAGTAGTAAATAAAGTTATAATATAAGTTTTATATATATAATATAAGTTTTTACTATAAAATGTCAGTTTTAGGTAGTTTTTTTAAAAAAATTTAATCAAAAACCAGAAAAAGTTTTTTTTTTTTTTAATTTCATTATATGATAGACTGCCTGCCCTAATCAAACCCTCAATCGATGTAGTAACACTCTGTTGCAAGTCAAGCTATAAAACAATCGATGTAGTAACACTCCATTGCGAGTCAGGCTATAAGATATATAACGGATAGATAGTCTATATATACCGGTAGTCTATTTATACCAGTATATAAACCGAGTCTCTCTCTATATATATACCATAGTCTATATATACCAGAGTCTAACTTCAATAAAGTTAATAAGAATTGAAGTGTTTTTCCTTATGCACTTCCGAAATGTCATGCTTGGTTTTCTCAAAATACTGTTGCGGGAAGTTGCTCCTTTTAACTACTCCAGGTCAGGTCAGGATAATCCGGATCAATCTTGCTACTGGTATCACGTAACCCAGTACCACCTGCCACAAGCCCTGCTGCCTTGCAGAGTGTGCTCTTCTTATGCAAAGGCTAGGAGAAATAAACTCCGACTAAAAATTCCCCTGCCTTGGGGCTCTTGGTTGAGTAAAGGCTAGAGATGGTGTCTCAATAAAAACACTCATCTTGGGCAGATGTTAATTGCATCCAGCTAAACATCCCCTACCTTGGGGCTCTTGGTTGAGTAAAGGCTAGAGATGGTGTCTCGATAAAAATACTCATCTTGGGCAGATGTTAACTGCATCCAGCTACTGTCTTGTAGAAGGCCTCCTAGGCAAAGACTTTAGGGGTAAGCAGAAAAATTCTGCTAACCAGCCTCGAACCCCTTCTTCATCTATTAGGCTGGCATAGATGTAACCTGTGTTACATTGTTTCCTGCCTAGGATGATGAATGCTGGATCTCCTTGACTCTACTCATAGAATTTTGATTATGTATCCTTGATAATGGCTATGCAACTCTTCCTGTTATCTCCATATGAGGGTACAGCTCTAAAACTCAGTTTAATGGTTCTGAGGCCGGCTGGTAGTAAGGTTTCCCGAACTCTGTGGTAGCTCTCAGAGAGGCTGATTCCATCAACAGCTGCAAAATATCAGAGTATTAACAGTGCCATGTTGCGCATGGATGGTGTCCCTGTTAATGCTTTTGGTGTGCATTGTCAAGGCCACATAAGGAGCCCTATGTCACGGCTTAGGGTTAATTAACAAGACTGAGACAACTGCATAGCTCATTGATTAGGAGGCTGTGCTCTATCTATGAATGAGTCAAGTTCTCATTAAACCCAAATCATGACCAAAGTAACCAAAAATTTAAAACCTAAAAAACCTTCCCCACCACCTAAATATTTTAATATATCTTTTACAAATATTCGCGGTCTACGAAGCAACTTTCCATCAGTTGAGTCTTACCTCCTGCAAAATTCACCAGACTTGCTTGCACTCAGTGAAACAAATTTAAGTTCTGCAATTCCTTCTTCAGATGTCAGTGTTGATGGGTACTATCCTTTGATTCGTAAAGACTCCAATAGTCACATGCTAGGTTTAGGGGTATACATACGCATTAATTCCCCTATTTGTCGTGAAATTAGGACCATTCTTTTATGTGCTTTCGCCTAGCACCTCTTCACTCTATCACCTTTCACTTTGTTCTTTATCGTTCTCCTTCTTCCCATGATTGCACTCTTTTAGATGTTATCTCTGATCAAATTGACCATGCCCTCTCTCTTTACCCCTCTGCCAATATTGTTGTTGTTGGTGATTTTAATGCCCATCACACTGAATGGCTTGGCTCTAACACCACTGATCCTGCTGGCACTAAAGCCTTTAACTTCTGTATTACTCAATCTCTTACTCAGATAGTTAACTTTGTGACTCGTTTTCTTGACAACCCTAACTTTCCATTTACCTTCACTCCTTGACTTATGTCTTGTCTCTGACCCTAGCTTATGTTCAGTTTCTCCCTTTTCTCCCTTAGGTGGTTCTGACCATGCAATGATCTCTATAAATCTTTCTTCTCGTACTTCTTTTTTGGGCTCACCTTATCATCGCACCACCTACTACTACCCTAAAGCTGACAAAGTTTTTTCTCTCTCAGCTGACAAATGCGCCTCCTAAGTAACCTCCTGGATTCAGGCTGGAATGGAAGCTTTTATTCCTTCTCGTCGGTTTCAAGTCAAGCCTCATTCTACTCCATGGTTTTCTCCTTCTTGTGCGGCTGCTATATCCAATCGTAACCATTTTTTTCATCTTTTTCAAAAGAACAACTCTCTTGAGAACAAACGGCTATTTATTATTGCAAGAAATCGATGTAAAAAGGTGCTTTCTGATGCTAAACTCCATTATTCTCAGTCCACTAAATCTCGCATCTTATCGCAGAAGTTAGGCTCTAAAGACTTTTGGAAAATTTTCAACAGCATTGTTAACAAGGGTAGATCTAACATTCCATCTCTCATTCATGGGACTGATCTTGTTACCTCTCCCAGGGATAAGGCAGAACTGTTTGCAAAGAACTTTTCTTCTAATTCCACTCTTGAATCTTATGGACATTCTCTTCCTTCCATTCCAGTCAAACAGGTTGACCCATTGTTAGACATTCAAATCACTCCGGCTTCTGTTGCTAAAGTCATATCTCAATTAAACTCATCTACAGCTTGTGGTCCAGACAACATTCCTGTCACAGTCTTGCAGAATTGTTCTCCAGAACTTTCTTCAATTCTCTCTAAACTGTTTAACAAGTGTTTGACTGAGTGTTGTTTTCCTGCTTGTTGGAAAATGGCATCTGTGGTTTCAATATTCAAAAACTCTGGAGAAAATTCCAACCCCTCCAATTATCGTCCGATCAGTCTTCTTTCTGTTATTAACAAGGTCTTTGAGTCTTTAATCAACAAATTCCTCACATCTCATCTTGAGTCATATAAATTGCTGTCAGACAATCAATACGGTTTTTGATCCTCTCGCTCTACGGCCGACTTGCTAACTGCTGTAACTGAAAGATTTTTTCGTGCATTAGATGGAGGCGGTGAGGCTAGGGCTATTGCTCTTGACATATCTAAAGCTTTTGACAAAGTTTGGCATGCTGGTCTACTCCATAAGCTTGCTTCATATGGTGTTTCTGGGAAAGTTTTTGAGATTATCAAATCATTTCTTTCTAACGGGTTTATTAAAGTCATCCTTGAAGGCCAACACTCTTCTTTATTTCCAGTAACTTCTGGGGTTCCGCAAGGTTCCATCCTGGGCCCTGTTTTGTTTCTTATCTACATAAACAATCTTCCTGACAACCTTTCATCTAAAGTAGCTCTTTTTGCTGATGACTCAACTTTATACTCCTGTCTTGACAAAAAGTCTTCTCTTTTCGATTGCCTAAAACAAGCAGCTGATCTTGAATCTGATCTCACTTCAGTAACAGATTGGGGTTCACAGTGGCTTGTGAATTTCAACTCTAAAAAAACCCAACTGCTTACTGCAAACAACTACCGTAATATGGTCAACATTCCTATATTAATGAATGGCAATCCTCTTACTGAGTCGTCCTCTTTACGTCTTCTTGGATTATCGCTTACTACTGACCTTTCATGGAAACCATATATACAATCGATTGCTAAATTAGCTTCTGCTAAGGTTGTTTCTCATTATCATGCTTGCCATTTCCTTACTTCTGATTCCATTCTCTACCTTTACAAATCTCTTATTCGTCCCTGTATGGAATACTGTTGTCATATTTGGGCTGGTTCTTCTAGCGATTCACTTTCTCTTCTTGACAAGGTCCAAAAACGCATTTTAAATGTTGTTGGACCTGGACTATCTGCTAAGCTTGAACCTCTTTCCCATCGTCGTAAAGTTGCATCTCTTTCTCTTTTCTACAGATACTATCATGGTCACTGCTCAAAGGAGTTATCATCTCTAGTTCCATCAACTAAAATTCATTCTCGTTTTACTCGTCATTCAGCTAAGTCTCATTCGTTTACTGTATCTGTCCCTGCATGCTCTAAAAACTTTTATTCATCTAGTTTTTTTCCCCGCACTTCAATCCTTTGGAACTCTCTCCCATCTTCATGTTTTCCTGACTCATACAACCTTCAACTTTTCAAGTCTTCTGTCAACCGTTTCCTTGCTCTATAACTCTGTTCTTTTTTTTTCCTAGTAACTCCCAACTTAATAGTGGTTGCTTGCAGCCTTGTTGGGAGTGAATGCAAATAAAAAAAAAAAAAAAAAATTCATAAACTTCATATCTCAAATACACTATATGAAGTAAGCTTATAGAGAATACCAGGATGCAAAACCTTATCAATAGCTTTTGATATGTCAAGAGCAATTACCTTATCTTATTGTGTCCATTTAGTTCACAACAGAATCTTTTAGTTACAGCAGTTAGCAAGTCATAGAACGAGAAGATCAAAAACTTTGTTAATTGTTAGAGAAGTTTTTTAAACTTAAATTCAAGATGGGATGTGAGAAATGTTTTGATCAAAGACTCAAAGACCTTGCTAATAACAGAAAGAAGACTGATCAGACGATAATTGGAGGGGTCGGAATGTTCTCCTAAGTTTTTGAAAAATGGAACCACAGATGCCATTTTCTATCAGGCAGGAAAACAAGATTCAGTCAAGCACTTTTAAAATAGTTTAGAGAGAATTAAAGAAAATGCTTCTATAAGACTATAACAGGAGTATTGCCTGGACCACAAGGGCTGTGGAGTCGAAGTCAGAGTTGCGACATTTTTAGCGGAGTTGAAGTCGCTAAACAAAATCGCGACTCTAACTCCAATAGTAAAACTTCTTGGTATTGCACATGCATGTATAAAACATTCAATTAACCTTATTTATACTAAACCTCAAAGAACGTTTCATAAATTTGTCAAAAAACTTTTTTTTATTTTATCGCATAATATTTTTTAAAGAATTCAAACAATTTTTCAAAAATTTTGCTTAGGAGTTAGAGTCGGAGTTGTAATCAAAAAATTTTAACAACTGGAGTTGGAGTCGTTACATTTTTTTTACAACTCCACACACCTGCCACAAGGTCTAAAAAAGTTTAATTGAGAAATAACTTTAACAACGGACATGAAGTGATTAATATGCCAAACAATTTGTTAACATGTTTAACTGAAATAGCAAGAAGAGTATGGTTATTAGAATTCAAGAAAAAGGTGAAAACCAAGGTGTATAGTAAGACTTGACTTAAAAATGACAAGAATGAATAAAAGCTTCCACACTTGCCTGAATCCAGTTTACACAGGAGGCGCTTTTATCTGCAGAGAGACTCTCACAAAGAAAATCACAAAAAGAAACCTAGTCAGCTTTAGGGTAGTTGAGTCCAAACAAGAAGTATGAGATAAAAGATTCATAGATACCATTGCACGGCCAAAACAACCTAAATGATAACAAGGAGAAACTGAATACAAACTTGAATCAGAGAAAAAACACAAACCAAAGAGTGAAAGTAAGTGATTAAAGTTGACTGGAAAACAAGTCACAAAGTTATTCTGAGTAAGAGATTAAGAAATACACTATGCTATGAGCTTTAGTACCAGAAATACAGATGCTGTGAGTAGTGATAGTGCTAGTGCCAATCCATTTTGTGAGATGAGCATTCAAGTCACCAATAACAACAATATTGACAGAAAGATAAAACTAGTACAGACTAGATAAAAGTAGTATAAAAAATACAATACATACAAATACATCAAGATAAAATAAAGTACTAACAAAGAAAAATCACCTATTGCGGACACAACCACCCCTGTTCCTTTGAGCTCTTCAGCACCTTTACTTATATCATCTGCAGATTGCGAGCTTGTCAGCAAAAAAATCATTTTTTTTCTATTGGGCTTTTCTAAAACCTTGCTCACATATTTATCTTTTACATACATCAGAGCTTTTCCTGTGTTACAAGTTTCACTTTCTTTTGCTTTTAACTGTAAAATTTATTTGAAGTACAAATAGTTTATATCAACAATTAAAAATTGTACAAAAACCAAAAAGTTTCTTTATAAAATAACATCAACCTAAAATTATGTTTATAAAAAGTTAGAAAGAATTGAAAGAATGTCATACCTCACCAAGTTCTTTTTTAATTTCTCGCGGGTCATTGAACTTTTTTGACTCAAACAACGTTGCCTCCTCACTTCCAAAGGTGAATACAGATACAACAGTATCACTCAACTTAAATAACATGATAATATTGTATATAAATCGCTGAACTATATCAATGTTCTCTTTCTTTGAAGTGTCAACCATTATAGCAAGATTGCAAGCATTCAAAGCTAAAAAAATTACAACTAGTTATGTGCCTAAACATATGTATGTTCCTAAAATTAAAAAATTTTATGCTCTTTAGTTATCATAGTTCATGTGCCTTGTTTTTAGAAAGCTACAGAACTATGTTAAGCATTCTCATACCTTTGTATGGGAAAGAAAGCTATGTTTAAGCATAACACTGTACTTATGCCTTTTTATTCAATTCTTATAATTTTTAAGAAACAGCATAGAGACTTTCATACATTCAACAGACAGCTTGGAAATATGTTTTTGACATTAACTGTATAGCTTAAAAATCATTTAAAAGCACAGGTAGATGAAGGCAATTGTGAATAAATGGCAGATAAACTGCATGTGAGATTGACTAAGACCAGTTGTTTTATCATAAAATTTGGTACACTAATTGACTATGAACTTGTCAAAAAAATAAAAGTTTAAAGCAACAACTGAGTTTGTTTTAGTCTGAGATTTTTAAAACTAAATTGCTTCTTATACCAGTTTCTGATCAGTTTTAGCACTCAAAAAAGCCAAGCATATTAAATGGTCTAAACTTTAAATAAGATCCGCTACCCCTGTTATTGCTCAATTTTTTTACTCCAATGGTTGTAGAAAACTCTAAGTTCATTTAAAAAAAGGACAAACTTTAATAAAACATATATATATATATATATATATATATATATATATATATATATATATATATATATATATATATATATATATATATATATATATATATATATATATATATATATATATATATATATATATATATATATATATATATATATATATACAATACTTTTAGATTTTGCCGCACTGAGTAAGAACAAAATTTAATTGTACAAAATAATTTTTCAATAAAATTAATGAAGACCTTTTTTTCTTCAAATTTTTCATTAATTAAAAATCTTCACAAAAAAGTATATATTTTTCTTTTAGAAAAATATTTTTTTTTTGTGTGAAGATTTTAGAATTTCCTAATTAGGAATAAATACGTTTTAGAATTTCCTAATTAGGAACTTTAAACAAAATAAAAACTCTTGCACATAAAATGTTACAGGTTAAAGCTTAGAAAACCATTTTATTAAAATAAATAAGAGTTTCAAGTTTTTATATTTTACTATTATACTTTAATATTTAGTTGGTCTTCCTCTGGCTTTAACTACATCTAATAAGCATTTTGACATTGATTCAACTAGACATTTGATTTGATTATTGTAGATGTTAGACCATAATTTAACAAATTCTTTTTTTAAATCTTCTTTTTTGGTAAATAATCTATTACTTTATTTTATCTAATAAAGTTCATAAATGTTCTACTGGATTCAAATCAGGGCTTTGTGAAGGCCATTTTAAAATGGTAATGTCATTTTTATCAAAAAAAAGTTTTAGTTTTTTAGCAGTGTGTTTTAGATCATTGTCTTGTTGAAACTGTTTTCCAATCTAAGTTTTTTAGAAGATTTTAAATTTCATTTTAGTATATTTTTATACAAATCAGCATTTAAAGTTTTATCAATAAATTCTAGTTAACCTACAGTATTCCACACCACACAACCCCATATTACACTTTCATCGCCATTGTTCCTTTTGTACAACTTAAGTGAAAAGCCTCACCCCTTCTTTTGCCAAACTTTATGCACCATCAGATTTTTTTAAGATAAACTTGGATTTATCAGAAGTAATGCCAAAGAATAGCACTCATTATATTATTCAATGAAGGATATTCAGAACAGCAAATTAGTGTAAGAGAGAGTTGTAAAAAATATAATATTTGTGATAACTATGTTGATCACAACAAAATAAATTAAAACCAAATAATAAAAGAAGTCCTAGACAATATTTAATATAATTATTATTACATCCAAAAGATTTATTTAAATAAATGAAACAAAAAGTGACAATCAAAAATTACATCAATTGTAAAACATAGAAGAACAATATTCAGTTTTTTCAAAACCTATAAGTAAATCAATTTCATTTTACTAACATTCATTAATTTTAAAAAAGGAGTAAAAACAGCTGTTAAGCAGAATAGAAGATTTTTAAAATAGTTTACATAGTGGATAATCTTTACAAGTGGTTTACATAGTGGATAATTGATCCTGATGTTGGAGACAAATTAGTTGCTATTGTGCAGACTCTGGAAAATGGTGTTATAAACAAATATACCTTAAATGTAAATTTTTTGGTTAAAAATCAATTTGAGCAATTCATGTTCTTTATACAAATGAATTAATTCTTTAACATTATGATTCAACTTGATGGAAAAACTCCATTAAAAAATAAATTTCCCAATATTATTGGAAATCTTATAGGTAAGGTTACTAGTTTAAAGTCAAAAATAGCATAGAAAAAATTTAATTACCTCATATCAGGAGGTAATTCATATCATATAATAAAGATGAAACATTCAGAAGATTAAAAGTATCTTAGTGAAATTACTTAAAATGCTATTAAGGCTGGATCATCTTAAAAGAAAAGAAATACGGCTAAATTTGCATGTATGATGGTTTAATTTTGTTAACAGAACATGCTTATTTTGGCGTTTAGAAATCAGTTGAAGAAACATACAATCTTGAACTTTTAGTGAAGTTCAGTATTGGAGTTATGCCCCACTTGGTTTGAAATCAAAGAAAGTGGACTGAAAGATCTAAGCATAAACTTAAGTTTAAACTTTTTTCAGAAAATGATTTGTAATTATATTTGAAATTTCTTTGTAGTAAGAAAAGAATTTTATTTTTAAATAGCATCTTTTGTACATGTTTAAACTTGATAAGTAGCTCATTTCAAAACAGTACTTATTTCTTAATTTTTTTGTTTAATTTTGTTTGCCTTCCATGGCTGATAGGGCCACTGCAGTCAAGGAGGCTGCTTATTTGTGGTTACAGCCTTCTCTTAACTCTTTAACTCCAAAACAAGAACCTGACGAACAAGGCAAATTTGTGGAGAAACAAATTGAGTACATACTACTAGAGCTGGAAAAAAAAAAACTTTTTATTATTTCAGAAAGTGGGATTTTGGGTTTTTAAGGTTTTATTTTTAAATGCTAGATATCATTATCAAAATGAAAAAATCAAATATTAATGACTGCATGAGATTTATAATATGAAGATTTCCAGAAAATTTAATGAATATCATAACAAAATTGTTAATTATGTCATTAGATATTAAAATTTTAGTAAAAAATGATAAGGTCATAATAATAGTTTTTAAAAGTTAAAATTGTAAAAACGAAAAACCCAAAAAACCCAGAAACTCTATTTCATTAGGTTTTTTAAAAAAACTTAAAATACCCAAAAAAACCATTTTGTCCAGCCCTGTACCAGATATTTGGTAAGAATATTTTTAATTGGTCATTGTAATATTTAGGATGAGGGGTAAATTCCTCCACACAAAAATCAATCATTTAATCTGCTTAAGAAACAATTTTAAGCCTTTTTTTTATAGATCTTTGCAAAGTCCTTACAAATTAGCTATAGTACTTAACTTTAAAATACATTAAAAGTGCTCCTGTTATTAATATTCTTTTTTATGATTTACCAATCAGTAGCATCAAAGATAGTTTCGACAATTTTTTTTTTTAGTATTAAATTTATAATGGTTTTTTTTTGTATGCAAAATTTATAATAGCGAACAGTTTTTCTTACATATACCTTGTTTGTATGGATTTATGTTGGTAAGTTAATATAAAAATGTTCTATTTTTATTTCTATATAATCCCTAAACATATTTTGAGTTACCAAATATAATAAAAATAGCGGCAAATTTGATAAGTTTTAATGTGTGGTAATTAATATTGAAAATTAGTTGTTTATGTTTCTTCCTTAATATCTTAAGAAATACACCAGATTACATGTCTGCACTTCTCATAATATATGTATCATCTGTATAACATACAGAGTAAAAAAGTAAAATAATTAGTTTTTCATACATTTCATACATTTTGTTGTTGCTGTTGTTGTGTTGATGTAGGGTGGTGTATTTCTTAGGATAAACCATTTTAACTTGTGTTTCTTTAAATCATTCTGATGATTGTGAATAGCATAATACTAATAGTAGTAAAAATCATGTAATTTTATTACATTATGCATATATATTATTTGCATATTTTATTACATGTATATTATAGCTCTGAGTTAGTTCAACTTTCTTAAAACTAACTCAGAGTTATAATAACTTTCTTGAAAGCACATTTAAAAACAACATAAATACACACAGATATATATATATATATATATATATATATATATATATATATATATATATATATACATATATATATATATATATATATATATATATATATATATATATATATATATATATATATATATATATATATATATATATATATATATACATATATATATATATACACACACATAGATGTACAGATATATACACCATTATACTTCAATAACACACCATTATACTTCAAACCAGCTAACAACTTATTCCATTCCCATGAACTTTGTAGTTTTCCAATTGGTTGCATGGCAGAACTGTCAATGAAACTGTCTAAATAAAAACATTAGTAATATTTAAAAATTTAAAAAATTTAGAACGAAAAAGCTGATAAAAAAAATTATAATAAACTTTTTTTGCTTGACATACAATAAAGTTAAAAATAAATATTGAAAAATACAACTAAATAAGTTACCCTATTATCTAAATAAGATTAAAAATATTTTTTTAATAAATGAAAAACTTATAATCCTAGTCATGAACTTTTGGCCATATTTTAGAAGGCCATTATTTTTTTAACCTTGAAATGTTTTGCTCCTAAACTTTTAAATTATGCCATTCACTAAAAAATCACTCCACAAAAAAAAAAGGAGCATCATAATTAGGCATACAATTCTAAAAACCAAGCATATGATTGCCCTCGTAAATTGGTCTGTTAGGGCAGTTTTGTAGACAAATTTATATAAATTTATAAAAAAGGTCATAAGTAATCAGATTCATATAATGGTGTTATGGTACATGTATTAGGGAGATCAATTATTATTGACATCTACTTGGTGTTCAGTTTAACACCAATGTTCACAATAGTAGTTTTAAAATAAAACTAGACAAACTTTTTGTAGTTCTAATTTTGTAAACCATAAAAATGTTGATAATAATTTTCATAATATTTCATTTATGCAAACTATTGTTTGATTTCAGGACAAAAATGAATATTAAACAAGAATGAATATTGAACAAGAATATTGAAAAGTTATATCAGGAAGATTTAAAAAAAGTTAAATCAATAAGAAGACAATTCAGAAGTCATTAGCAAAAGAAAAGGGAATCATAAATATTTAATAATCATAGGTGGGATTTTGCAAATACACTCAAAAGATAGTACTACAACAACATGCTATGTACCCAAAAGTCTTTTGTGCTGATTGCTGGTCATATTTAAAATCAACATAACAGAGTATTAGTTAAACAGTATGGCTGCTAGTTGTCTATTTTGAAACTTCTGCTTTTTTTAAAAAAAGAAAGTTACAAATTATTGTAGATGGATTACTTTTAAATATAGTACAATCTACTACTGCAACCAGCTGAGTATCATTACTTTGCAACCAGCTGAGTATCATTACTTTGCAACCATCTGAGTATCATTACATTGCAACCAGCTGAGTATCATTACTGAGTATCAGCTGAGTAAAATCTACTTTTGAAACCAGCTGAGTATCAATAGTTCTGTGGATAGTTTTGGAAAATGACAGAAAAATTGTTAAAGTTCCAGAACAATCTGTTACTACCTAAACATTTTAAAGAGTTCTAGAATGTTCTGAAATTTTGTCTTTACCTCCTCTACAACATATTTATTAATCTTTGGTTCATTATAATAGGTATTAAAGTTGTGCTTTTTTTTTCAGTTTAGAAATTTTCCTGACATGACTGCTTTCCAAACTGCTTGCTCTTCTATTTCCTATTACGGTTCAAAAGGTAGAAAAACAGGAGCGGCACTAAATCCTCATCAGTGATATTTAAGTTAATATTAAGTAAAAATAGAAGTAAAAATAATCGATTTTGTTAATGTGAATAAATACTGAAATTAGGAATTATTCGAAAAACCAAAACTAAAATAGAATTGAAAATTAACATCAGAAACGAAAATAGAATTCAAATTATTTATTATTACTGAATGAAAATTATGGAATTCAAACGTAAAATTCAATAAAATTATTTTTTATGACAATTTATTTACAGCTCCATTATTGCTGTTACACATGCCCGACCACCAATCTGGTCATGTGCTTTTTAGCTATAACAAAAGATTAATGTATGTATCATTGACATAGAGCCAAACTCATACTTGTTGATGATTCATATTGTATATATTATATCAAGAAATTGCTTTAATATTGTTGCCTTGAAACTTTGATAATGACACTTAACAAGTTAATATTCTGTTAAAAAATTTCCCATAAAACTTGATAGAAGTGAAATATTAACTGAATTATGAGCTGAAATAAAAAGTAGAATTGTTGAAATTGTAAGAAATGAACTAAAATCAACTTTAAGAGAACTGATTTAAAACTAAAATAGGAATGATTTTATAAGTAAAAATAGAATTAGAAATTAAATCAACACTACAAAAACTGAATAAAAACTGAAGAAGAAATTATATTTCAAACTTAAATATTACTGCTACCACAATCTAACGCTTAAATGTAGCCATGCACTCTTTCACAGACAGCTTCAGTATGTGTATTGTTATTAATTACAGAATCATCAGGAACATCAACAACATTAATTAAACAACATTAACCAGCAGCATGCTCAGAATCAACAATACTTCTGCTTTATTATTTCCTTATATATACAAGCATCAGCACAAACATCATCCTCCACCTCTTGCACTAACTCACTTTCTAGGAGTTATGACACTCTCACATTGTCACTAAGGCTAAATGTCACAGTCAACACCATTGACTGGTGGAAGAACAAGAAACAGCAGACCAATCATCAATACAAAAGAATCATTAAGATCTTTTATTAATTTAATACTTATGATTATTTTCTTTGAGCACAAAATCAAAAATCAAACTTTCTTTGCAATTTTTAGAAAAAATAAGTATTTATCAATTAAGTTTATTTTATATGATTTTCCATTAAGTCCACAGAAAAGTGATTACATACTAGTAGTGGAACAACATATCTTATCATATGCTATTAAGGATATAGGTAAAATAAAAACTGCTATGTTAGAGTTGGTATTTTGAAAATAAAAGTTAAAAAAATAAACTATCAATTATTGAAAAAATGTACATTAATAAAACCCAATAGTAATAAATGCCTACTCATTGGAGGTGAAAGTGGTGGTAACTTAAATGGAGCTCCAGGAGGTATTTTTAATTGAATACCAGGTTCAACTTTTTGTAGAGGATTCTTGCCAACAACTAAAAAATAAAAAAAGCTAGATAAAATATAAAATGTCCAAAATGTTTAAATATATATTTAAAACAAAGATAAAATTAACATTAAAAAGTAAGAATAGCTTCAAATGTTTAAAAATTTGAATAAAAATTTATGATAATTTTATGATAATTTTATGATCTTTTTAAAAAAAAAAAAAAAAAACAAAACAAGATTTTCTTTCAAGATAATACTTTAATAAATGCTGAAATATATAGATTATATTTAATAAAATTATATTTTTATACTCAATTATACATAATTTAATTATATTTTTTGACTTAACTATAAATAAATGTTATTCTACGATATGCTAAATAAAATAAAATAAATGAAATAATAATAATTATAATAGTTTGATAGAAAACTTTAAATGATGAATTTACAAGTAAATAAATTTCAAAATTTTGATAAATTAGGTTGTTGATATCTTAAATTGTTTAACCTTTATTTAAAATCGCCTTAACTTTTAATTTCACAAGACAGATGTAGATATATCCTAATGCATTACTTATCGCACTTGAGAAAAATACCTAACTTTTGAGGACAAACTCTATAAATTTTTTAAACTTTTTGACATCAGATTTCAAAGTTGCATTAAAAAAGTAAAGCAGCTATTTAATATAAAACAATAGCTTAACAGTCTTTTATTTTTGTAACCTTTTGATTGGTTCTGATATTTAATGGAGACTTTTTGACTTTTTTGTCTCAATCAAATAAAAAAATTTAAAATAAAACCAAAACAATTCGCAAAACATTAAAAAAGAAAATTTTTTTAAAAATTATATATAGAAAAATTCTGAAAAAAAAAATTCGAAAAAATTTAGCAAAACAATAAAGATCAATAAATTACATGTTTTATTAAGCTAAAAGTATATAAATACTTTTCCATGACATTATATATATATATATATATATATATATATATATATATATATATATATATATATATATATATATATATATATATATATATATATATATATATATATATATATATATATATATATATATATATATATATCAGGCTTGGCCGGGAAGTGGGAGCGATTGATCTCGATTGCTGACCCCGTAAATACGTACCACGTAAATTGACCACGTAAAATGACCACGTAAATTTAGTTGCGAAAAGCTGGCCAGATTTTTTAGTTGTTTTGAGAACATTTTAAAAAGCAAAAAAAAAAAAATGATTAAGATTAATTGGACAGATGAGAGACAATTACAAAAAAAAAATTTGGCAAATAAAATATCTTTGAACGCAAAAAACTTAAAGCTAATTAAATTACATTTAGAACAAATATTTTTTCGAAACATTGCTCTTTTATAATTTTTTTTTATAAAATTAAGCGATGTTTTTTATATTAAGTAACAATTTTCGGTTGTTTAACAGGAAAACAAATATTCTTTATTTAACAAAGTTTGCAAGTTTGATCAGTTTTATTTATGTTAAATTATTTTATAAATAAAAAAGTTAATTTTTTTAATACCTATTTTATGTTTCGTGTAGTTTGAAAAGCTTAACATATTTAAAGCAATTCTTCTTAGTAAGATAAACAAATGAAATAATTAAATCATTGAATTACTATATAAATTAAATTATAAGGATAGAAATCAACTAAAAAGGTTAAAAATATTTTATGGCGAGGAAGCAAAACTGCTTCACAATATCGCTAATGATGTTTAGTAAGTGGGCTCTTTAATTTAATTAGTATTTAAAGCAGAAAAAAGTATAACAAGTTTTAAGAATGGCAACTTGAGCGAAAATAATTAGAGTTAGTAAACCAATATCTTTGTATGCGTATAAAAAACGTATAAAAAATTTATGGTTACTAAACACAATATCAACGCATACTTTGTATGCGTTGTTTGTGTTTAGTAGCCATAAATTTTTTATACGTTTGTTACATAATTAGTTTTATTAACTTTAACAATAATTTATAATAAACTTTTAAAATTTTGACAATTTAAATATATATTTAAAACATTTATTTTTGTAAACAAATAATATATATTCTTAAAACAATTTACGCTAGAAATCTCAAAACGTAACAAATCGTAAATAATGCAATTTCTAAAACATTTCAACAGAATACTCTAGAACTTTATTTTGCTCAATCAGCATATTTTTTGAACCAATAGAATTAGTTTGTTCGTTAATTTGGCGATATTTAGTATTATTTTAATTTCTGTGGTCAGTATTCGAGAGCGATCGCTCCCGCTTCCCAACCAAGCCTGATATATATATATATATATATATATATGCATATATTTATTTTATTTTCATATAATTTGAAAAACATTAGAAAAGCAGAATACCTTTGACAACTGAATTCTGAATTTTCATCATAGATGTAAGCAACCCTTTCCACTTTGTATTCAAGTAGTATCGTGATACCGTCTTTAACTCACTACTGGTAATTTTATCACCAATACCTATGGCAAAAATTGATACTCCACTTGCAACAAGCGCTTTCGCCGGTGTAGCAACATCATCATCACTTTTTCCTGTTGTAATCAAGAATAATAGCTTCTTATCACCAGCATTGTCTGTAAAGGTCTTTGTAAAAGCATTTAATGCCGCTCCTGTTTTTCTACCTTTTGAACCGTAATAGGAAATAGAAGAGCAAGCAGTCTGGAAAGCAGTCATGTCTGGAAATTTTCTGAATTGAAAAAAAACAACACAACTTTAATACCTTTTACCCCAAACCAAATATTTATTTTAAAAATTTATTAAACCAAAAATTATTACAAAACTTTTTATTATTAAAATTGTTAAGTTTATTAAAACATTAAAGCTAAACATAAAAACTAAACTAAATTGTACCTAAACATGGTCATACTATTGTCTGTTTCTCCACCATAAGTCATAAAAGCAGCAGATGAATCCAACGCAAACAACTTGTATATATTAAAAACAAACTTCTGTAGAACATCAAAGTGATGTTTGTTAGTACCATCAATAAGAAATCCAATAGATGCTTTGCTACAAGCTTAAAATAACATCAAACTGACTGATAATCAAGCTTTATACACCAAAACATTAATATTATAATACACATTCATACATACAAAACTATACACAAAAAAATTAAAACATTTATTTCAAAATATAAAACTTATTCAAAAAATATTTTAAAATAAGTCAAGTAAACATAAGATAAATTACAATTATATGTAAAATCCACCCCATAGGTTTTCCAGTGCCAGTCTTTAACAATATCAGCCTTTTTGCTGCTGATATGACCAGATTTTCCACATGCTTTAGATATTGTTCCAACAACTAAAATTTTAGATTTAATAAAAATTACAAAACATAATATATATATATATATATATATATATATATATATATATATATATATTTATATATATATATATATATACACATTGGTGGTAGTGGTGTAGTATATATATATATTGGTGGTAATGGTGTAGTGGTAGAGTGGTCGCTTAAGTGAGAACCTCTCACTTAAGCAATGTATACATATATGTATACATATATATATATATATATATATATATATATATATATATATATATATATATATATATATATATATATATATATATATATATATATATATATATATATATAAATGTCAATTTAATTACAAACAAAAAGAAATGAAAGTTTTAGTAAATTTTTCTTGAAAAATGTTGCAAATAAAAACTATGAACCTATGACAAGCCATAATAGAAAAATAAAAATGTACTAAGATTAGATTGTTGTAATATAGAATAGTAATAATATAGAACTAGTAAGTAATCTTTTTATCTATAGTAAATCATAGAAAGATATCAAATCTTTGTAAAACTGGCACAGCTCATCATGCTTGGGACTAATAAAATTTAATTTATGCATATATCAACATAAATTAAATTAAAAAATATATATATATAAAAATAGTGAGGTTTTTAAAACAGGCAGAAAATTTCTGATATAACAACCAAACTAATATCTCTGCTCCCATAACAAAATTTTTATTATAAAAATAAATTAAAAAACCAATATTGATATAGAAAAAAATCAAAAAACAAATGAAAAACACTAACTTGAAGCAGCTGAAGACTGCATCAGTCCAATTGTGTTAACAAGTCCACTAACAGAACTTTTGAATGAAGTGCTTGATGAAAATGATATTGAATCAAGATACTTTGCTGTAACATCTTTTCCTATGCCACAGGCAAATGTTTTAATACCATATTTGCGTAATAAATTTGAAGGATTTACTACATCGTCAGCAGCTTGTCCAGAAGTTATTAAGTATAAAACATTTGCATTTCCTGCAGGAGCCTCACTGAATGCATTAAGCTAGAAAAATTAAAACTTTAGGACTTATAATTAAGAGTTACTTTGTACTTTCCATAAGTAACTATTGTCATAATATTAAAAAAATGTGTTACATGAGTTAAATTTTAAGACTTAAATACACATCCTTTGATTGATCAATTTTAGTATATCATTATATTTGCTGTAACTGGTTATAACCGGTGATGCATTTTAAAAAACACAACAGAGGTTTTATAAAAAATTACAAGTCTTGCATTAATAAAATTTGTTTAAATTATTTTTAAACTCTGTTGTTGAATTTATTTCTGGGTTTAAATTTTTCTTGAAAATTCCATAGTGCAATAACTTGTTGTGGTATAAGATTTTAAAAATTAGCAACTTTATTATTTTTTATTAACTGATTATGCAATTTTACACAGTTAATATCTCAAAAATTATTTTCACTCATTCTTCATATGTAAAACTTATTACATTAGGAATCATTCCCTGAGCTGAATACTTTCTAATAGCTTTATATCAGCTTTTCTAAATGGATACCAAGCTGAAACAGGGAACATGATTAGAGGTATAATATATACTGTATACAAAATATACAAAAGCTTCATGTCAAAACCTACAAAAGAACATTTAATTATATCAAGCACCCAATCCCAAATAATTTAATATTGCTAATAAAATAATTATTGTTTATAGTAATTTTACTATAATGCATCACAAAGCATTTCTTTATATATAAGTTAAGCAGCATATTTTTGGACTAAATAAACACTTTTTTAAAATTGTTTTGCAACAGTGAACTGTCATTTGATTAATCTAAATTTGGTATGACTTTAATGTCCTCAGCATATATTTTACAATCATACTTTGTTGTATCAAACATATCATTAATATAAACAATGGTAAAGCTCTATGTAATGACCCTTGTGAAACTCCATTAAGAACAACATTCCACAATGAAAAAATATTGTCCTGGACCAATCCTGGACCAATCTGTGTCTCGTATCAGTTAAAAAAGCAAACAGTTTTTGTTTTACTACATATTTATTAAACTAATAAATTTTTGTTTGGTTGTTGAGTCAAAACTTATAAATTTTTGTGTGGTTGTTGAGTCAAAACTTATAAATTTTTGTGTGGTTGTTGAGTCAAAAGCATTGGCAAAATTTAAGTATCTAAGTATCAATTTGCCTTTTTTAAAATAATGACCAAAGTTTATAATAAAATGGTGATATTTTATCACAATTTTTGTGTAATGGTCTTTTGGATTATTGGATCTCCATTATAATGGTGAATAGCTACTTTTAACTGAAACTTTAAAATTAAAGTTATTGCTAATAAGTTAGAATAATTTTTTAATATTAAACAAAGTATGAACCACATGATTATTAGGATTAAATAGTAATAATAGTTAATAATTAATAAGAATAATAATAGTTAATAATTAATAAGAATAATAATAGTTAATAATTAATAAGAATAATAATAGTTAATAATTAATAAGAATAATAATAGTTAATAATTAATAAGAATAATAATAGTTAATAATTAATAAGAATAAGAATAGTTAATAATTAATAAGAATAAGAATAGTTAATAATTAATAAGAATAAGAATAGTTAATAAATAATAAGAAGAATAATAGTTAATAATTAATAAGAAGAATAATAGTTAATAATTAATAAGAATAATAATAGTTAATAATTAATAAGAAGAAGAATAGTTAATAATTAATAAGAATAATAATAGTTAATAATTAATAAGAATAATAAAAGTTAATAATTAATAAGAATAATAATTGTCAATAATTAATAAGAAAAATAATAGTTAATAATTAATAAGAAGAATAATAGTTAATAATTAATAAGAATAATAATTGTCAATAATTAATAAGAAAAATAATAGTTAATAATTAATAAGAATAATAATAGTTAATAATTAATAAGAAGAATAATAGTTAATAATTAATAAGAAGAAGAATAGTTAATAATTAATAAGAGTAATCATTTTTTATCACATCATTATATTCAACAATATCAATAATCTAAAATATTTGTTTTATTTGACTTGAAATCTGATTTAAGACTTGTCATGTTTGAGATTTGATTAACAAAACAAACATTTAAAACACGATTTCGTTATTAAGAACTGATCTAAATTTGGTAGTTAATAATTTCCACAATCAAAAAAAAGTTAGCTTTTTTGTAATCCATTTTATAATTATTTTACTGCTCACATTTTAAAAAATAATAAATTTAAAACTAAGTAACAAGTGACCTTTGATTACCTTTCTTAAGATGAATTTTGATTCAAGCTGAGTAATCAAAATACAATTTTAAATATAAAATGAAATAAGATAAAATGTAGGTAACTTTATGCGTTTTTTTGTTTAATTGAAACATTATTATATCCACATGTTGAATCAAAATATGTTCAGAAAAAGTTTCATAAAAGAAAATTCAATTTTTATTAATAAAACGTTTTTAATCTAGCCATTAGACTATTTAAAATTCGAGAAATTGAAATTTCCTATTAATATCAACTCTTCAATGATGAATTTTCTGACATTAAAATTGGCATTTTAAAAATACATTACCCAGATCTATAACACATACCATATCAGATGGCCTATGTATACATTCAACTAAATATTTGGATCTGCATACAGTTATTATTGCCCAAACTTGTTCAATACTACTAGAGTAAAACAAATAATTTCAAATTGATATAAATTCATTTTATTGTTTATATATAAAGCTGAGCTTCCTCTTTTTCTTCCATCTCTTCTGTACAAATTATAACCAGCTACATTGGTACTTAAAAGTTCATCAAACCAAACTTCAGTCATATGGGTTTAATTATTTATTAAACAATTTTAAATTTTATTTTTTAAAGATGTAGCATTGGTATATCAGAAACTTAAATGATTTTTTTTTCCTTTATTAGGATACAAATTCAATTTTGAGTTTAACAATTTTGTTCATAGATACCATAACAAAAAAGCAAACTACATTCTCTTATTTTATTAAGTTGATCCTTTTTTTTGACGTAAATTAAAATTGCTTTATCTCTATGCTTTTGTCAAACCCAAGTTCACAAAAACCATTTAAAATTTTTTTCAATCAAATTATTTTTTGCAGCAACTAATAAAATATTTATTTTTATTTGGTTTATCTTCCTTATCTAACTTGTTAGATTTTAATTTTTTAATAAAAAAGTGGTTTTAAATTAACTTTAATGCTTTAGAAAAGTTTTTAAACTAAACCTTCAACTTTGGTTCAACCTTAGAGCCCAACTTACTGCATGTGATTCAGCCAAACCAAATACAATCTCTTCTTTTTTTTTCTCACTTTCTTTTTGCTTGCAGCATATATCATTGTTAACTGATTCACAGGTTTTTTCTTAGTTTCTTGACACAACAGAGTTTTTTTTTTTTTTTAATTATTTAACTTCTCAAGCCTGAGAAGGCCACTACAGTGGAGGAACCTACTTTTTCGGTTACAACCATCTCTCAACTCTATAACTTGAAAACACGAACCTTAATGAACAAGACCACAGTGCACAGAAACAAGTTGAGCGTGGTACTACCAGGGACGTGACGGGGATCGAACTCGGAACTTCTCGCTTTTGAGGCAAGCGCTCTACCACTACACCACTACCGCATAATGTTGACCATAACCAATATCAATATCATGAATTTTTTTTATTTAAGCTTTTTTTGTTTCTTAAACTCTTAACCTCTTTCCTCAACTCAAAATACTTATGTTTTCAAGTGATAGATCTCTGTTAAAGAGGTTATTTATAATTGAGTTCATTTTTTTTTTGAGTTTTAAAGTTTTCAAACAATTATTTTAAAGAGGTTATTTTACATATATTCTTATATATTCGCTTTTAAGCTTTCAAGTTTTCAAGTTTGCTTAGTTGTAATCAAGTGATGCAATTCTTTTCAGAGAAGTTATTTATAATTAAATTTTTCTTTAAGTAGCCTTAACACAGCATTTAATTGACTTTTTATCCAGGTTTACTTTAAGTTGCTATAATAGTTTAGTAATTATTTAAAATTTTTGACTCAACTATCCAATATTTATGTAAATTAATAATAGTATATACAAAAATGACTCAAAGTTAAATAATGAATATGTGTCACAGAAAGTTTACTAAAAGTTTTCAAAGCTATTATGAGTTACTAAAAGTGTGAAAATAATTTAATTTCAAACTCATTTTAATTAGAAACTAATTAAATATATAAAATTAACAAAATAATTTACTGATTTTATATAATAAACTTGGTTTTGTCACAAAAAAGTGAAACTGTTATAAAATATTTTTGAAGTAATAAAGCAGAAAACTTATTAGCTGCTGGAATTGCTTACCATTGTTTTTAGAGCGTTCCCAGTACTTCGAACACCATTTGCTACTTTAGGCATTGAATTGCAGACTTTTTTAATATCATCTGCACTTCTGAACTGAGCAAAATTAACTACTTGAAAGACATCAGAGCCATAAACCATAATATTAATATAAGTTCCACTTAATGAGTACATTCTTATTATGTTGTAAACCATACGCCGAAAAAATCCAAATTTTTCAACATCAACACCGTCAACTAAAATTCCCACATTTGCACGACTCAAGTCTAAAAATAAGGATCATAAGAAATTAAAATAAAAAAAGTTCTTTCTCCATTAAGGCATTACATCTAATATTGATAATTTAATGATACAAACTTTGCAGCTATCAAAAGTGAAAACCTTAAAAAACAATGTGAAATTAGAAATTCTTTGTTGAAGAAATTTTTGATTAAAGGGATCCCAAAGTGCCAAGACAAGTTGTGTTTATTTTAAAGAGAATGATAAAAAAAAATGTTTGGGCAGAATTTTTATAAGTAAAACAAAATAATAAATGTATACCAACAAAAACAAACTTTGTTGTTTTACTTTAAGTAAAACAACAAAGTTTGTTTTGCCGTTTCCACAGTAGCTCTTCTCTGAAAGTCTTTAAAATATACGCCACAATCTACAGACTTTATAATTTATTCAAGCGCATTTAATTTCAAAGAGTTTTAGAAAATGAGGTCATTGTAGAATTTTTTTTTTAATCTTATTATTATAATTTTATATAATTTTTAATATTATTTGTTATTGTTTTATTTGTTTTTTAAATAGCCTTTATTATCAATCGTATTAAAAAAAAATCGTTCTAATCGTATAATATAAAAAAACATAATAGGAAACTATTGCTTTTTTTATAGAGGGCGAGAACCAAATAAAATTAAGATATTTATATTACACTCTTAAACAAAATATATATATAAAAAAGTCATTGATCATCTTTTTTTCTTTTTATGTAAACAATGTGAACTTTTTTTTAGTTTATTTAAGCCGTTTATTGCGTTTTTGTTCTCCTATTGAAATGATATTTTACAAATTCTTAAAATTTTAATTAATAAAGAATTTTGGTAAACGACATCATTTATTAGAGATATTTGCTGAATTCTTAAATTTTTAGTTAAAAAATATTTTTAGATTTTACACTCAACAAATTTACGGATAGTTTTTAATTAATTAAAGCAATAAATAATGTTTTATGGCAATAACTAAAGACAGATGGCGATTAAAATTGTCGCAGCGCGTGTTAAAAAACATATTGTATATAATACTTTTCAATTTATGTCATGTTTGGCAATTATTTTATATCAATCTGTCTCTTAAAATTACAAATTAAAAAACTACCAAAATTGACAATAAAAGGTTTTTCATTAAACGATTTCAATTTAAAAATTTACTCGATACAAGTTTTACAAAATAAATTTCATTAAATATATTCTTGTATAATTAAATAAGAAATTTGAGAATACTTGTAAACAATGAAAAGTTAGCAAATAAATGCTGTTAATTAAACTTTCATAAGGTTAACTCTTTCGCTAGCAGTCGTTTTAACAAAAAAATTTTATGCTACAACCACACATTTTTTTGAATAAAATTTGAAATGCATTGACAACTAATTAAAATTCGAATTGTAAACCTTTTTGAAAGCATAGCAAACTATATAACAATAAACAGCTAAAAAAATGAACTTTTTATTTAAATAAATTTTAAACACGCATCATTGAACAATAAAAAATCCAAAATGATTAAAACCATTGTTTTTTAAATAGTAATTAAAACATTTCCAAAGCAAAACTCGTTTAATGTATAAAGATGTTTTTTAAGATAAAAAAATAATAATAATACAAAATATTTTTTTTAACACAATCTTAATAAGTATGATAATCATTTAATAACAATAAATATAACTCAAAAAATAATTTATAGCAATAGACAAGCTTAAAATATCTGAAATGTTTTATATTTTTAATGCGAGCTTTGCAAAAGTTAGAAAATAAAATAACTAAAGAAATTTTACATTAATTTATGATAAAAAATTTTTTATATAAAATAAGTCTCTGAAAATATTCTTTAGTCATCTATAATAATAATTAAAAAAAGTTCTATAATTTGATTAAAAAAAAAAGAATTTTCAGACTTCTTAACGAAATTCTACAATGACGTCATTTACTAAAACTCTTTGGAATTAAACGAGCTTAAATAAATTATTAAGTCTGTAGATTGCGGCGTATATTTTGAAGACTTTCAGAGAATAGCTACTGTGGAAACGGCAAGGTTCGAGTAAAACAACAAAGTTTGTTTTTATTGGTATACATTATTTTGTTTTACTTAAAAAAATTCTGTCCAAACATTTTTTTATCATTCTCTTTAAAATAAACACAACTTTTCTCGGCACTTTGGGATCCCTTTAAGTTATTTGCTTATGGTTTATAAAGAGCCAACTTCTTATTTCTTACCAACTTCTTATTTCTGGGTAGCTAAATGTTAGTTAGGTCAGTTAGCTAAATGTGTCGTGTATCGGCAACAGATTCATGCAGGTGGTAGATATATATTTATATATATATATATATATATATGATATATATGGCACATATATTTATATATATACGTTTAACATATATATATATATATATATATATATATATATATATATATATATATATATATATATATATATATATATATATATATATATATATATATATATATAAATATATATATATATATATATATATATATATATATATATATATACACAGTATGCTGTTTGTATATTTTTCATTTTTTAATTCACCTCCTCAAGGCCGAGAAGGCCACTACAGACGAGGAGGCTACTTATTTGTGGCTATAACCCTCTCTCAACTCTATAACTCCGAAACACGAACCTTGACGAACAAGGCCGCTGCGCGGAGAAACGAGTTGAGCGCGGTACTACCAGGGACGTGGTGGGGATTGAACTCGGAACCACTCGTTTATGAAGCGAGCGCTCTACCACTACACCACTACCGCATATATATATATATATATATATATATATATATATATATATATATATATATATATATATATATATATATATATATGTATATATATATATATATATATATATATATATATATATATGTATATATATATATATATATATATATATATATATATATATATATATATATATATATATATATATATATATATATATATATATATATATATATATATATATATATATATATATATATATATATATATATATATATATATAAAGAGGGCTTCATTAGAAGACCTAGCCCGGAAATGAAAATTGTATTCCATACAAGGGCATTTTGAAGTTAATAGAGGTAGAGAGTGGAATCAGGATTAAGAACTGTAAGTAGGATAAAGATTTAACCATTGCAAATACTAACTTGCGATGGATTGTTTTTATGGTTTTTATGGGAGGTCAGTAGTAGGTTAGTAAAAAAACAAAAACAAATAAACGGGACTATATAATTGTGACATATGCAAATGCAACCACTTTAGAAGCTAGAATAATAAAAAAATTAATAACATAGTTAAGGAACAAAACAGTACCAAGGATGGAATATTGTGGTACCCCAGAAGTTACTGGAAATGAAGGTGAGTGTTTTAAGGTAGTTTACCAGTAGCAGAGTGATCATTGATACTAATCTGGACCTTACCTAAAAATGATATATTGAACATTATAAAAAAGATATTTTATACTTACGCCCATAGCTAATAGATTTCAATCCAGCTTTCCAATTCCATTTTTCTTGTACTCTTATCATGCTAGCAGCACCGGTTATTGATGCCATAATATTGCCAGTTCCAGCAGCTGAAAAAAAAAAAAGTTAAACATTTAAAAACTTTAAATTAAACTTTTTATTCAAAAAAGTAGATAAAAATTTACTTTGTGTAAGGGAACTTAACATTGAAGATAGCGCTTCTTTAGCAACCACAGCCTTTGCATCACCAGCTATTGTATATTCTTGTGCAACAATATCTTTAATTTCACTTAAAATTTCTCCAGAATCAGGCCCAGGCGCAACCACCCAAACTTTAACACCTATCATTTATAAACAACTAAGTATGAATAAAAATTAATAAAATAAAAAAATGTTTATATATGTACCATTGAATTGATCAAGTCTTCAAAAAGGCAAAAAAAGATTTACTCAAAATTTTGAAAAGTATATTTTGTACTATTTTTTACAGTTTATTTTATTAAATAAACTATTTCACCACAAGTTGTGCTTGTGGTAAAATAGTTTAAGATGTGCTATAATATCTACACCTATAATTGGTCATACAATAATTTATGTGATTCTATTACATACTTCAAAAAAAAACTTTAAAATAAAAAATAAATGAAACTTAGATAACATATATTTGAAAATCTGAATCTAAAGTATTTATATTTGATCAAATACTTTTGACACTAAATCTGGCTAAAAGATAAATTGGTAATATCAGCAAATGCAGATATAAAAACTGTGTAAAATTTTCTAAGAGAACTAATTTAAGCTCAAAAGTCTTTTCTGAATACCTTATTTCTTTCATATTTGAGTGATAAAATTTATTACAGAGCAGTATATACACGTATTTTAAAAAACATTAATACTGTCACATAAATCTTAGATAAAATAGATCACACGAACAATGCTTTTTAAAACTTTATACATTTTCTTTAATTAGTTAATTTGATATTTTTTTCTAAATTTTTCATAAGATAGGTTATCCCTTTGAATATTTCTTTTCCTACCCTTGTAAAAAATGTTTGATGTACCTGGGCATGTTTCCTAATGATAATCTTTACTGATTTTTAGGTGTTATTAATACTTGAAAAATTACTAATATGTTCCTTTTAGAAAAAGTGTAAAAGTGTATTAAAATATGTTGGACTTGCTCAGTCAATACTAAATCTTTAATGTATAAGTTTGTTGTTCAACTTTTATTCTATAAATATATTGTTTATAATAAATTTACCTCCTCAAAGCACCAGAGTGGCCAATTTTTTCAATTTATTTGAAACTCACTCTAAATCCAACTCGAAAATTTTTTTTTCTAAATAAGGCTACTGTGCAGAGAAACAGGTTAGGTTTAGTATATCTAGAGGCGTAAGGTGGACTTAGGTTTAGTATATCTTAAGGTGTAAGGTGGATTGGAACTTTGAAAGCCTTGATCGTATTAAGGTTTCTTCCACTAGCCTAGAACTTCCACTAGTCACTAGTCTACTACCACATTAAAGATAGCGTTCAAAGAAATTTAACTACTATGGATAATGTTCTTTTATATTTATTTCTACATATTATATACTGTTCTACTTTATTTAATTCCACATAATACTAATGACATGAGTTAAAATAGTTTTGCTACTTGTTTCTATATAAGTTAATTGTTTACAACAAATATGCCTTATTTGTTTTAAAATAACTTTTATGATCCTAATTTTGTTAATATAAGTGAACTTATGTTAACAAAACTGGGACTTATTCCTAACTGTTTTGAAATTGATAATACTAAGGCAAACAGTTAATAATAAGTTCTAAGAACATAATCTAATTTAAATACCATTATAAAATGAGGTTGCATGATGGTTGCATCTTTTTTTCACTACAAATGTAATAAGGATAATTTTATTTTTTTTAAATAACTAAATGGACTAAATTTTGTTCCTTATTTCATATTGTAGGCAAGGACATTAAACAAGAAAATGCCTTATGAAAAAAAAATTGTCAAAAGAGAACTTTTGGATAAAAAGACAATAGATAAACAATGGAATCCATATGTAATAAATTTAACAAGACAGTAGTACATAACTTCACTAATAAAAAGTATAAGAGCAACAGAAAGGTAACAACTTAGCTTTGCTGCTGCATTAGATCACACTAAATTTAGCAACAGGAAAGGCATTTTTTGTTATTGACAAAACTCCTCAAAGTTTTCTGGTGTCAGCAGTAGTTAAAGTACTGGAACAGTATAGTGTTTAAGAGTGTGTTGTTGGAATGGACTTAACACAGCCAGATCAAATAATAGAATGCATATTGGGGCCTGTGTTATAAAATAAGCAAGCTTTTTGCAAGGATTTATTGTAACTTGTATGTCACCACCACAAAATTGAGCTATACAGCAAGCCTTACCTCTTTACTAGGGTGGTCTAAAATTATAAATTATTGAAATTCATTTCTCCACAAGGCTGCCTTTGTTCCTATTAATATTTGCAATATTGTAGCCAAATTTGAAGCAAATCGGATAATATTTAGGGGTTGCTATAAATTTTGACTTTTTGACCACAATGATAAAAAAATCAAAAAATTTAAGTTTTCACTATAAATATAATATCGAATTTAAAAATTAATGCCACTAACAATTTAAATCAGGTAAATAGAATGCCTATAGAGTATCTAATGAATAGAGATCATCAATTGATCAATTTTTATTAAAGTATATCAACGTTTCGTAACTTTCGTAATTTTTAAACAAAAAACTGTAATATCAAGAATATTGTGAATATGTTGAAAAATGTATGTTTATTAATAAACGATTTTGTCATCTTTCGCCAACATGGCTGCCTTGGATGAAGTAGGGTATAGCTGGCGGTGACGTTGAACAAAACGAAGTAGGAACTGCTTTTGTTCTTCATCCTTTGTAATTGATTCGTTGTACTGTCCAATTAATGCAATTCCACGTTCTGAGCTGTCATTAACAACTTTCATTCTTTGGACTCTCTTTGCCAACTTCTGATATGATTCATCGTCCTCCCAATATTTAGGATCTTTTGAAATGAAGTTTCTGGCCTCCTCTCTCCCTGTACTGCTCAACAACTTGAATAAACTATAGGTTCTCATAGTCACGAATGTCTCTAGCCTGTTGAAGTCGGTATTCTTGGAATCTACTCTCTTCAGTGCTAGAGTTGTCTTGGGCAGTTGGAAGTTAACCACCATGGCCCTCTTCACATCCAGATCAACGCGACTATCAAAAAATGCCAGACCTATAAGATGTTCCGAGAAGAACCAAAAAATGCAGTAAAAGCTGCATCGGCGATTGTGCGGTTTGGATACTTTTGGAACTGTTTCAGCATTTGAGCATCATTAAACGGAGCATTTGCAGCCAGTGTAGCATTGTGCCAAAAATGTCCGTAAATTAATGCCACAAACAATGCAAGCTCTACTAGACCTTTCTTCTCTCGAACAGTCAGAGTGAGCTGATCTTGAAATAGTACCATTTTCAGAGCGTAGATGGCCTTTGACATCCATCGAGCATGATGCATCGCTCCTGGAGCTCGAAATTTTATCTCAGCACCAACAGAGCCTCCTCCTAGAAAGACCAGGCATAACCGAAGTAGTTCAAGATAATCTTCCCTAGGTTGTTTTTCGTCGATGGCTCTGGTGTAGAATGCTACCATTTCCTTTCGAAGATTTCCATATCTCAGATGAAAAGCTCATCTTTAGCTGGAGAGAATCTCGCTTGCTGAATATATGGCCACTTCTTCTGAAACCGTTTGAACAAGCCAAAACCTCAGGTCCCCCTGTTCCACCAAAGAGAGCTGTAAAGACATTGCTCAGAATGACCTCCAGAACATGGTGGCGGCAACCAATATTTACAAGATCACGACCAACTGCTTTCTCGATGAGAGCACAAGCTCCTTTGTGGATACCTGTATTGGACGAGGTTGTGTCAAAGACTAAACCCTGAAGTTTGTCTCGAATTTTCCAATCATCCAAGATCTTTAAGCAAGCTGCTGCTTGTTCCTCTCCTGTTCCTCTTCCAATTTTTGGAACTGCTAGCAATTTCTCCAAACCATTTCCAGTTACAATCACTGCAATTCGGTCCACGGTTTCTTTTGAACCGGTGATATCTGAAAGCAGTTTCCCTTCCCAGTGTAGAAGCAAAGGAAATTTAATGGAAAAGTTGTCTTTGTCATTCTGAGTCACGTGTTTACGGGTAGACATTCGAGATCTCCTGATTGTACTTCGAGACAGAGTTAAGTCTGCAAGAGGATGTCCCAGTGCCTTAGCCACTGAAGCGACAACGAACATAGCTTTGCGATCTGGAAGGTTAACTCTGTCCAAAGCTCCAGCAATTTCCGGGCTGGAAACAATACTCTTCAGACGCTTTGGCTTTGGTGTAGAAAAAACAGATTGTGATGCAGAAGACAGAATCTCAAAACTTGGGTCATCAATGCTGTCTTGACTGTCTTCTGAGCTGCTGATGTTGGCTGAGACAGGATCAAGATGACCACTGGAGTGTTGCTGTTTTAATAACCTTGCATCATATGCTTGTTCTCGAGCTCTCTTCCCGGCTTCATTTGCCAGTAAGTTCTTATCAATTCCAGCCATGCTGCAGCTGGTAACATCTTCTCGCTGCATTGCAAGAAATTGCCTATCTTCAGCAATGGTTATTGTCTCCATTGCGGTTTTAGTTGCCAAGTCAAAAAGCTCGTAAAGTGTGTCTTTGAACATCTGTTCTTTAATTCTACTGTTTTCCAGGCCTGTAGTTCGATTCTTTTTTAGGAGCAGATAGGAATCGTATAACTTCTGAAGTTTTCTTTCACCAGAATCAATTCTTTGTGTTGGGATTCTTGCCTTATTCCACATAACAATCAGCTCTTGAATCGTATGGTGAATGCTGTCCTTTATTGTGAGATGCTCTTCCAGATGATGAAAGAGGAGACACCGGAGGAGATCTCCATTTGTTGCCAATCTTGACGAGGAGAGCTGCTTAGATGCTTTCCCAATGAGCCATACCTCTGCAGAGCTTCTTGTAGTAACTGCCATAAGTGGTGTAATATATATTTTTATTATTTATTAATTACCTGCAGAAGTTTAAGTTGAAATGATTCTTTGTTCTTCAACAATTCTTTGTTCTTTTAATTTTATATAATTAATATTTAGTACTTTATATTATTAACAGAAATGAAAAAACATTACTGAAAAACATAATTTGTTTTGAAATATTGCAGACATGTGCTTAATACAAGATGGTCACTTAATCATGTGACAATTGATAAAAGATATTAGATATATAAATGAATTTTTATAGCATATTCTTTTTGAAAACTATTTA